TATATATATATATATGCATATATATATATATATATGCATATATATATATATATATATATATGCATATATATATATATGCATATATATATATGCATATATATATATATGCACATATATATATATATGCACATATATATATATATATGCACATATATATATATATATGCACTATATTATATATATATATATGCATATATATATATATATGCATATATATATATATATATATATGCATATATATATATATATATATGCATATATATATATATATATATGCATATATATATATATATATATATGCATATATATATATATATATATATATATGCATATATATATATATATATATATATATATATATATATATATATATATATATATATATATATGCATATATATATATATATATGCATATATATATATATATATGCATATATATATATATGCATATATATATATATATATATTATATATGCATATATATATATATATATATATATATATATATATATATTATGCATATATATATATATATATAATATATATATATATATATATATGCATATATATATATATATATATATATATATATATATATATATATATATATTTATCTATTTATAAATATATATATATATATATATATATGCATATATATACATCTACTTCTGAGCTCTCTTACATCTATATATATCTATCTATAGATATATATGCATATCATCTATATCATCTATCTATCTTATATAGATCTATCTCTATCTTTCCTGATATCTCTATCTATATGCATCCATCTATATATCTCTAATCTATCTATCTATATATAACTCTATACTATTATATATATCTATATCTATATATGCATATATATATCATATTATATATATATATTATAGTATATATATCTCTATATATATATAACTCTATCTATAATATACTATCTATATATCTAAGTATATATATCTATATATATATCTATCTCTCTCTATTTTATATATATATATATATATCTATATATTATCATATCTATATATCATATAATGCAATATATATACCTATATATATATATATCGATACTTATACTCTATCTATAATATATATCATGCATATATATATCAATCTATCTATATATCTATATATATATATTATATAATATATCATATATATCTCTGCTAGACTATATATATGCCTATCTATTATCTATCTATATATTTTATATATCTATTCTCTATATCTATCTCTATTTCTATATTTTATCTATCTATATATATATATCTACTATTCTATAATTTTCTATATACTATATTTTAATCTATCTATATATATCTCTAGATATTATTAATCTCTATATATTATATATATTTTATATCTATCTATTATCTCTATCTATATAATTATATTTTATAATATATATTATATATCTATATCTCTCTCTATTCTCAGTATATATCGATATCTATTAGATTTTTTATTCTACATATCTATATATATATTATTTTATTCTTATATATCTTATATCTATTATTAAATATTTTTTAACTCATATATTATTCTATATCTATATATTTATATATTTATGAATATATAAAAAAATGAGTACTGCATTTCCCCCATTTTTTGTTCATTTTCCCCAGCAGCAATGGGTTAAAGAAACATATTTTATACTGTTAGATATTCAAAGACATGCACATATGTGTGTGCATGTGCGTGT